TGAAGGCAAATGCAGCCTTTGAAGGCTTCACAGAGGGAGAGATCTCTTTCCAGCCAACATACAAGTATGATGCTGGCTGTGATGACTGGGACACAAGGTACAGTGTTCGCCTCAGATGTGATGCCACCAATGGCTGGTGCTAGCTCTGAAGGAATTAAAAGCAAGGCTAGAAAAAATTGCAGGTCTAATGGTTGTAAGTAGGAACAGTTCTGAGATTATTGCTGGTTCCCTCCCCTGGCTGCAAAATCCATCTCCAGTTTACATCTATTTATGTTGCTTTTCTTCCATTGCTATTGTCAGATACTCCTAATAATTTTTTCCCAGGAATAATGCTAAGAATAATCCTACTGGGTTTCCTCTTAGTTAGAGGTGTTCAAAATTAAGGAATGAAATCTGTGCAGCAGTCAGTGAAAAAAATAAAAGCAAACTTTAAACATAGAGCCCGAATTCTTATTTTTCATGGCTCTTATGGTCAAAAATATCTGAGTATTGCTTTGTGTGTTAATTGTATTTTGCACTTTTGAAGAAGGAGGAAGTAAAACATGAGCTAGAGATACCTCATAGTAGACAATCGAAGTTTTTATATCTATTCAAAGAAACTGATAAAAATACCACTTTGATAGAGAATGAGCTCCAGGCCATGGCAGGAAACCCTGAATCCCTGGGAGAGCAGTGTTACTGCACCTGAACTGTGCCTGGAAACTGTGATCTTTCCCTCTGTTTTAGTGAGAAGTGTCGTGTTCCAGCGTGGTGTGATCGGATACTCTGGAAGGGGCAGAACATTGCCCAGTTGAGCTATCGCAGCCACATGACTCTGAAGCTCAGTGACCACAAGCCAGTTAGCTCCATGTTTGATATTGGGGTAAGTATGTCAGTGCTGAAGGAAATAACTCTGCTGACCTTGTCCTCTGTGTGAGGAGAGAGGTTCTTCTGCTGATTTCCCTCTCCTGCTCTTATGGCATCCCCAGAGAACAATGGCTTGAAAGGTGGGCTGGATCAGATACGGAGATAGGATTGTTGGTCACAGTAAGCAAGGGCTGTGTAACTGATACTCAGGTTAATCCAGACAATGCCTGAATATCTGAAGGTGTTCTTTGAGAACACAGTAGTGTGTTGTGAAACCTTTTTTTTTTTTTTCTGAGAATTAGAAAAAGGCTGATCTGATACTGACTGAGTGGCTCTTGTTAATTATGGCAGGGTCCTTTACTGTTGGATCCTGAGAAGATCTTGGGGCATGACTGCTCCAAGTGGCTCTGCCCATTATGTGGGTTTTATACTTTATCGTGCTGCTAGAATCAAATCACTTGCCATGTTTCCAGCTGTGTCCCAGCTGTCCTGCAGAGGCACAGCAGATGCCAGCTGCTGTGGTGTGTGTCCTTTTCAGGTGAAGGTTGTGAATGAGGAGCTCTATCGAAAAGCCTTTGAGGAAATAGTCCGCTCCCTGGATAAGCTGGAGAATGCCAACATTCCCTCGGTGACGCTGTCCCGCAGAGAGGTGGGGCATGGCCATGTGCCAGCACTCCCTGAAGGAACTGAGCAACCCCAGACCCCAGCAGTAGAAGATGGATTCTAGAGCCCGGGGTCTGGTTCCAAAAACTAGAATATTTTGACTTGCGGCTTCTCTCTGTTTACAAGCCCTAGGAATCTTTTTTCCCGTTTAGATGCTGGTAAATTCCGATCACAGCCCAAGGCTGAAAGGCAGGGTGTGTCACTCCAGAGGTGGGGAGAGAGAAAGTAAAAGGGTGGTTTGTGACCTTTGCTCTGACTTGCTCTTTGAAACATAAAATGTAAAATCTGATGGATTTGGAGAAGGTCAAAGACCAGTATTTGCTTTGTGTGTTGGGGACTATAAGGATGAGCCCACGATACATTTGAGGCTACAGCTACCTCACTCTCAATTTCATATTTGAGGGAAGCATTTGTTTTAAAGGGCCCACTGATGCAAAGGACTTTGGCATTCAGAGTAAGCAGTTGTGATCCTCTGGAGTCCTGGAAGAGATGGGATGTGGGAGCAGAGGGTTAATCTAGGTGTCTTGCTGCTTAATGATTAAACCATGGGACAAGAATTGCTGCTGGAGCTCGGCAAGGTGAAATGGCTGATGTTGACTGACATTTGTTTCTAGATCCATTTTGTGGATGTTAAATACATGCAGCTGCAGGTAGAGAGGTTTACAATTCGCAATGGCCAAGTGCCCTGCCAGTTCGAATTCATCAGCAAACCAGATGAGGAAACCTACTGCAAGGAGTGGCTGATTGCTAATCCCAGTAAGGGCTTCCTGCTTTCAGGTGAGCTCTTTGTTTCCTCCTGTTAATGAACTGATACTGTCCACTTCTGGCTTAGTTCTCTCTTCTCCTCTGAGAGTGCTGTGCCTGTTAACAGGCTGCTGGTTTAATATCGGTTGTAACTGATTCTGGGTTTTTTATCGTCTTCTGGCAGATGCTGAAATCACAGTTGAACTGGAAGTGTTTGTTAATAAATCAACGGCTACTTGCTTAAACTCTGGAGAGGAAAAACTTGAAGATATCTTGGTCTTACATCTTAACAGGGGGAAGGATTATTTTCTGTCTGTAACAGGCAATTATTTGCCAAGTTGCTTTGGGTCTCCCATCCATACTCTGTGTTACATGAGGGAACCAATCCAGGACATGTCAGCAGAATCCATTCGGAGACTTGTGAGTTAAAGACAAGATTCCTTTCCAAACCCACAAGAGCCTTTAAAACTGAGGCCTGTTTATTGTTATTAACAAGTTTCAATGCTCAGGTATAAGCTTTGTATTTTTACTGAGCTGAATAAGAACTTGTCTAGCTGTTTGTTTCCCCTCCCCACAATGCTTTCCCTTAGACCCTGATGCCACTAGAGAAGAGTGATGATCCTGATCCTGCTCAAGCTGAAAAGCCTATGGACATCCCAAAAGAGCTGTGGATGATGGTGGATCACTTGTATCGCAATGCTTCCCAACAGGTTGGCAGTGTTTGTACTGGAAACACAAAATGAGCTGCTTGGGTTTTTTGAGTTTTGAAGAAGATACTAGTAATAGCAATCACTGTGAGCTGGGGGTGTTTGGCCAAAGGCCTTTGGAGATAAGGGATCTTGGTGCCCTGGGTTGCACTGTCTGGTGCTGGTGCCTGTGCTCTGTGTGTGCAGGCATGAGCAGAGTCCTCCTACACTGCTTTCACTGCAGTGCCACAGCCTTACTAGAGCTGCTTTTGGTGAGACTTGTGTGGTAACCACCAATTTGGAGAGATTTTCCAGGCAGATTATAAGGACGTTGCTCTATTTACCCAAAAGTCTTCTATTTTCCTTGGACTGACCAAGGGTTGTCTTTGCAGGAGGACCTGTTTCAGCAGCCAGGCCTCAGATCTGAGTTTGAGCAGATTCGAGACTGTTTGGACAAGGGAATGCACGATACCTTCTGTATCCTTTTAGGTGATGCCCAGGCAGGCTCATCGTGTTGCAAGGGTCAAAGCTGAGAAAGGTTTTTAAATTGCTGTATCTCCCCTGGGGTAGCTGAGCTCTGCAGTTCCTGTGGCTCCAAAAGCCTCTGCCCGGTCCTTGTGATGCTGATGAATTTCACAAGGGTCCAACTGCCAACAGCAGCAGCTCCCCGTGTGGAGTCCAGGGCAGTAACCCAAAGCTGTGAGCAGTAGGAGGAGGTTGGGGAGACCTAAGCAAAGGTTCATGTGTCAGCAGAAATAGAACCAGCCTAGATCCTGCTGTGCTTGCCTCTTCCTTAACCATGTTTGGATCAGTGGGCAGCAACCACTCAGTGGCAGAAGCCCTGCTGCTGTTCCTTGAGAGCCTCCCTGAGCCAGTAATCTGCTCCAGGTTCTACAGCACCTGCCTGGAGAGTGCCAGCAGCTACTGGCTAAGCAGCCAGGTATGGCCAGCTTCCCTTAGGGACTGGCTCAGGGAGGGGAGGTAAACTGGTCTCTGTCACACCATTCACAGGGTTTTGCTCTCAATAACTCAGTCATTTGGTCATAGAAAGGATCTGGAACTGGTGCTTCTGGGTTATGAAGAGCTGTTGGCACTTGCAGAGGGGAGTGTTGGGAGTAGGTAAAGCTGGAAGCCGTTGCTGTATCTGCAATATAAATGTTGGGTTTTTCCCTCCTCAGATTATCTCTAGCCTGCCAGTGTGCCATAAAAATGTATTTGAATATCTGATGGCATTTCTACGAGAACTACTGAAAAATTCGGGGAAAAACCACCTGGATGTGAATATTCTTGGTAAGGCAATCACAATAACCTCTCTCTTCAGAAGGGTGACAGAACACTTCCCAGCTGAGTGCAGTCATGGTCTGCACTGCCTTGAAGCTTCGAATAGTCCATAGAAAAAAGCAGGAACCTGGAAAAGCAGGGAAGTGACCCAGAGGTGTGGGGGCCCTAAGGTTTGCCCCAGCCCAGGCACTGTGCCCTGGGGTTGGTGGGATGGCCCCTGATGTCCTGCTGCTCTCACTCTGTGTGCTTTTGCTCTGCAGCCAGCGTGTTTGGGGGCCTGTTACTGCGCCCTCCCCCCGGACATCCCACCCCTGACATAGCCGAGAAGAGGAAAGCCCAGCAGTTTATTCGCCAGTTCCTCGAGAGAGAAGACAATTCACCATGAATTTCAGATGCAGCTAATCTGGATTTTTAGATATCAAATTACTGTAAAAATATTTTTTGTACATTATATCAGCTTTTTGGTTTTTTGGATATGACAGTATTTTATACAATCTGTTGCTTTTGAAGTCAGAGGTCAGGCAGTTTGACACCTGATTATGCTGTAAAGTATATAACATTTCTAAATAAGCTGTATCTAGACAAGCAAAAAATATAAAAGCCGATATTTACACTGTATTTTATTTAACTTGTTTGAAAACTCGGGATTTTTAAGCCCTCGCTATTTAAATAAAACGCTCTGGAGCCGTTTCGTGTTGTGGGCCGTGACTCGTGTCCCGCCGCCAGGGGGCGCGCGCCGCGCCCGCCACCTTCCCATGAGCCCTCGCGGCGGGCGCGGCCCTCCCGGTGGGCGGCGCGCGGCCGGAAGCGGAAGTGAGCGGCGCGATCATGGTGCCGCTGGGGCGGGGAGGGAGCGGCTGCCGGCGCCCGGTGAGCGGGGGGGACCCGGGGGGAACCAAGCCGACCGGGGCGCAGGGGCCCGGGCGGGACACGGGAGCGGCTCTGCGCGCGGCCGGACAGCGCGGGGACAGTGCCGCGCTTGGGGCGGGCCCGCGGCGCTCGGGCCGACCCGGCCCCGCCGCCACCGCCCGCCCCGGGGCTGCGCCCGCGAGTGGAGCCGGGCCTGGGCCGGTGGAGGCGCCTGACCCCTCGCCCGTCCTTGCGTTGCAGATGAGTCGTTGTGGCCGGAGCTCCCGGTAGCGCGGAGAGAGGCGCGGAGCCATGGGCGAGAACAGCCCCGAGGGCAACGTCATCTACTATGAGGTGGAGGAGGACGACCTGGCCCAGGATGACAATATGATGAGGTTTGCTGACAAAAATGGGCTAGTGTCCTCCTCCTCCGGGACGGTCTATGACAGGACAACTGTGCTCATCGAGCAGGACCACAGCGTGCTGGAGGAGGAGGAGGATGAAGGACAGTGTGGTGAACACTTGCCTTTTTTACCAGAGGGTCATGAAGAAGGATTTCATTTAATAGCAGATCATGAAGGAATGTCCCAGGGTTATGTGCAACACATTATTTCTCCAGATCAGATTCATCTAACAATAAATCCTGGTTCAACTCCCATGCCCAGGAACATCGAAGGAGCAACGCTCACTCTGCAATCTGAGTGCCCAGAAACCAAGCTCAAGGAAGTGAGTAGCTAAGTGTGATCTTGGATTTGTGCTTCTTGTCAGTGGTTTTCATCTGGTGACCTAAAGGGTTTGAAAAGGTGTTTTTCCAGAGCTGTTTGCCTGGGGACAGCAGGAGTTCTGCTTGTACTCCAAGGTTTTTGTGTAATGGAGTGAATTGCCATCCACTAAATCTGCTCTATGTGCTGGGCAGAACAGTGTCCCAGCAGAGCTGCCAAGGCTGTCCCTTTTCCTTCTGACTTCACCTGGGAACCTGCCTGGAGGCACCGTGTGACACTGGATGGCAGGAGGGTGTGGCACTGACAGAAGTCAGTGGTGTGAGTTTAGTGATCTTCTGGATTTCTTCTGGTTGAGTCATGTGTTTTCTGAGTTCCGAGGTAACTGAAATATTCTGAGCTCTCCTACTCTGAGGTTGGCCACGTTCTCTAGAGAAGCACATCCCGGTCACAGTTAAGGGCCAGGCCATTGGTGGGAGCTGGAGTACCATACTTGAGATGCCAAACTGTAAATTGCTTGTAGTTTTATTGTGTCACTCACTGTGAAACAGAGAGGAGAATAAGGGAAGATTTAAGCTGCCATCTGTTGTATTTTGAAAGTTCAGGTCAGCCTACACAGTTAAAATGGAGTTTACTCTTAGTTGTGTTTTACTGATGAATTTTCCCTGCACGCATAGTGGTGAGGGCTTCTCCCGTAGTTCTTGAAAAGCAAAGGTGACTGACACCAGCATAGGGACAGCTTTGTACTCCTTCTTTGGCCCTTCTGAATTAGGCAACGGCTGATGCATCCGAGTATTTGTGCCAGCGTCAGTGGTAGCGGCACTGTGTAACCACAGTGAGAGCAAGAGAGCCGCAGCACCAAGCCCTGGCTGTGCCCCTGAGTCCTGGCTGTGCCCACTGAGTGATCCCATCAGCCCAGAGCCGCCGTTACCATGGTGAGGAAATGGGGCTGGCCAGGGTCAGCTCTGCAGCTGGGGAACTTGTGGACCGAGGCATGTTCAGCAAGCCCATTTGAGCCTCCTTTTGTCAGTTATCCGTGTCAGCAGCTGCTGCAGCTGCTCGAGTGATTCCCTTACTCTGTCAGTCATGTCACTACTTTCTCTCCTCTCTGTGGGACCCAGAGCAGGGGGTGGCAGCTAAACAGGGTCAATGGCTGCATGTGCAATTAAATTGACTTTATCTTTTCACCGTTCCTTTTTAAAGAAGGCTTGTAAGACCTGGAATTTCCTGATGAAATCCTTTATCTGAATTTATTTTCCATTTCTGGAATTAATTTCCCAGAGCAGGGCATTGACACCGTAATGTGAGGGCAGTGACAGTGAGCCCTGAGCATGTGTGTCACATCTTATGAAAGGCTTTTTGACCTGCTGTTTCAAAGGCCTAATAAGTTGTCTGAAGATGGGGAAGGGAAAGCTCTAAACCTTCCGAACATCTGGCTTATCTTTGAAAGCCAGCAGCGCAGTTCTTTTGTATTTCCAAAACATCTGCAACAGTTCTAACACTTGAGATAACTATTTTAAAGTCTTACATCTTCATGTCAGTCTTAGATGTTTAAGAAACCAAAGGGTGTTTTACGCTTTAGTTATTTTTAACTTCTTTTTGTTTTATTCTGCATCTATCACTAATTCTGTTGCTAAGAACTAATGTGATTACAGTTTTGTATTTCAAATTCATTAATTTTTTTCAATGATGACACAGAAAAATCAGCCATTTAGGGGGAATGTTGTAAACCCGGGAGGAGTTAAAGGCAAACTGAACAGTTAATGTAGACTTTGCTCGAGGGTGTCAGGTTCCCCTAGTCCTTTTGGGTATTGCTCAAGTTCCTGTTTCTGAGGTAAATGCTGGATTATAGCTCTTCAGCGTCCCCTGTGCCCCTGGCAGAGGCAGCAGCTCACTGTCCCTGGCCAAAAGCCACAGCCTTTGGCCTTGAAGCACCTGGTCCCTGTCTTGCTGTCCAGGATTTGGCCTGTGCTACCTTGCTTGTTTTCTGTTTTGCCTGTGTGCTGAGACAGCCTGGAGCTCTTGCTACTGCACCTGCAAGGCTTTCAAACCAATCTGATATTTTGGATGTATAATAAGTGCTTATTTGATGTGCTACTGTGAAAAGAGAATTAAATGCTTCACATGCTTCACAGAAAGGTTTCTTTTGCTCAGAATGGTGGTGTTGTTGCTGCTGCCTGCAGTGTGCTCGGATGGGCTTGTGAAATGAAGATTTGGCCCTTGAGGGAGGGGGAGCACTGCAAGGCCTTTGTCAGAGTTCAGGTCATGAAACTATCTTCCTGTACATATGAGCAGTGACAGCTGGGAACCAAATCCTTAATCTGTAACGAATAATCATTATTTCCTTCTAGACCTAACTGTAAACACCTAGAAAGCTTAGCAGACTCCTCCCTTGATTTTCAGTTCCTGCCTTTGTCAGATCCCTTGTGTACCATGGCAAGTACTGTGGAGAATGTCCTGTAAAGTGTTAATTTCCAGCTGCCTTAAAGCTCTAACAGGGAACATTTACATCAGTACTGATACAGAAATTGTACTGGATCTGGCAATCCCTGGGGAGAATAATGTACCTCTCCTCATCCAGTACAACATGCTGTCTGACCTTGGTGTGTTACTGGTCTGGGCTCCCATGTTGTGGCTGACTCAGCACAACCAAACTTCCTAATTGTCTTGTAATTGTGCTGTAGTGCTTGGGCATTTATGGGTAACTTCTTCCTGATTTAAACTATAAATTGAGGGCAAGTTGCTTTACAATGAAATTATTGTTTCCTTCTCTGTATGGTGCATCTAAGAATGCCGACTGACCAGATAAAAATGCGAAGGGATGAATTCCCCACTTCCCCTGGCAGGCAGGAGCTCAGCCATGCCTAGGACAGCAGGACTCTGGCATGCCTAACAGAGACTCAGGAGCACAAAATGTCCTCTGTTCCTTCTCCTTCCCCAGCTCCATGTACTAAGCATGACATCACGTGGTCTGGAATATTCCTGGATCAGTTGGGGTCAGCTGTCCCAGCTGTGTCCCCTCCTCACTCTCTGTGCACCCCTAGCCCCTTGCTGGCAGGGCAGAGTGAGAAGCACTAAAAAAAAAATCCGTCTCTATGTTATCAACCCTGTGTTCAGCACAAATCCAGAACATGCCCCCTACTGTGAAGAAAATTAACTCTACCCCAGCCAAACACAGCACATTACAATATTTCTGTGCTTTGTGTAATGGTCCTTTGTATGTCCCACCTGCTTTAAAATTCTCCAGATATGAAGATTTTGTTGAGGGAAGGTTAAGGTGGATGCCAGCCTGTTGAAGGAGCAACAAGAGACTACAGATTAAGATACAGGAAAGATCACTCAGCTAAGTCCTTTCTTGGGCTCCTCAATCACTTTTAGATGTTGAGGTTTCTGAACTGCAACAGTCAAACAAAAGCCATTGGTCTGATAAGTCAGTGATGAGGATAAATTTATTCAGGCAGATCAGGTGACATATTCCTTCCGCTTCACAAGAGAGGATGAGGTTTCATTAGGTGTTACCACTTGCACACTGGAAGCTTCTACATGGTCCCTTGTGCCTGTTGCAGAAGGCAGGAAGGTACCAAATCTAGTTTGATAGGAAACTGTCCTGGGAATCCCAGTGGCTGGCTGGGAAATCTGTAACACCAGTCCTTGGGTAAAAAGCACCTGGTTTGATCTGTTACACTTCAGGCACTCACTGTTTCAGTGACCACAGAAAGGAAGAGCATAGTTCAATGAGGTCTGTTTTTGGAACAAGTTGAAATAATAAATGAACTAGTGGTTAGACCATGAGAGATGGTGAAAACTGTGTTTCTCATTCAGAGTGCTGATGGGAATCCAGCACACAGGGCAGTGGTTTTGACGATTGTGACAGTGCATCTTCCCTTGTCTCCATTCTCCACAAATAAGTAGCTCTGCTAGGAACACCTGAGTGAAATTGCAGGGGCTACACATGGGGGTAATGGGCAGGTTTCAATGGCCCCTGAATGTCCTTTCCAACTATTTTATCAGATTTTTAGCTAGAAACCTTTTGAATTCTGTTTTTTCTTTTCCCCCTTCTGTTGGATTCCTGTTCTGCAGGGCCAGCTGCTTTCCTGTGTGCCACTCCTTCCTCATGAAGCGCAGCAGAAGCGTTGTTATCTGGGTATTCAATAGCAATAAATTTTTTTTCCTGGGCTTTGGGGTCAAAATCTGTTGCGTTGTCTTTGATGTCTGACGGCAGTTCTGCCCTCTCTGGGTTCGAGAAATGATTAAAAGTTATTAAACAATGCAGCATTTTGTCCTTAGGTGAAGCGCTACCAGTGCACCTTTGAGGGCTGTCCCCGCACCTACAGCACTGCTGGCAACCTGCGCACGCACCAGAAAACCCACCGCGGGGAGTACACCTTCGTGTGCAACCAGGAGGGCTGTGGCAAGGCCTTCCTCACCTCCTACAGCCTCAAAATCCACGTTCGAGTGCACACCAAGGAGAAGCCATTCGAGTGTGACGTGCAGGGCTGTGAGAAGGCATTCAACACACTGTACAGGTGAGAGGGTGTTCAGCACATGGTATAGGTGGGAAGACTCTGGCGAGTTCTCTCATAGGTGTGGCTGTTGCTGTTCTGCAAGTTGCATTGCTTTGTGTCTGAATACAATTGTTTTACTTCTTCCAGGTACAGGTATGAATATAAACCCTTCAAATAAAGCAATGTTGTCCCAAGAGTAGGATGGCAGAACTGTGGTCGCATGCTTAGCTTCTTTATATTCCAGTAGCATTGAACATGGTGCACGAGCACAAGGGATTCTCAGACTTGCTGGAGGACTTTGTAACCGATAGCAGTCACTTTCATGAACTTGTTACCTTCCACTCAGGATATGTTAAGCCTTTGATCCTGTCCTGTACATTTGAAGGAATGGCTTGTTTGCCTCAGGCCAGGGCTGTCTCATCCTAGCAGTTTTAAGAGGGATTTTTTTGGCATGTTTTTTAGGTTGAAAGCACATCAGAGGCTTCACACAGGGAAAACATTTAACTGTGAATCAGAAGGCTGCAGCAAATACTTCACAACGCACAGTGACCTGAGGAAGCACATTCGAACACATACAGGAGAAAAGCCATTTCGGTGAGTTGCTGGGTAGCAATTCTGGCTTCTTTGGGTCTCAGATAATGGGGCATCTGTGCCAAAAGGCAGCTGTTACTTCTCTGAATGGAAAGGTGTTCTCATGAGACATGAGTGAGGGTGGCTGGCTGGCATTGGAGCATGTTTGTTCTTGAACTCCCACAGCTGCCTGTGGGTGCAGGGACTGTCCTAAAAGATGAGAATAGTCAAGGTATTTTTTTAAACGTAAAATATTGTGTACCACAATGAGCATCTTTTAAAACACATTGCTGCTTTCTGCTGCAACGCAATGTGTGTGTATTCTGTGAGGAGGCCTCCCAAATGCTGACTTCACGCTTGGATTTTAAAGTCCTGCTCAGAGCCCTGCTATGGTCTGGGTGGCATGCACAGCAGCTGCTGGGAGGTACTTGGTTGCTAACACAACTTAGCTTTGGGCCTGCTTTTCAGAGTCCTGGGACTATGCAAAGCATAATCTAAGGTTATAGCTAATGCATCAAAGCAGGCTGATGCTGACTCTCCTGTGATGCCTCATTCAGGTGTGAGCATGATGGCTGTGGGAAGGCTTTTGCTGCAAGCCACCACCTCAAAACACATGTTAGGACACATACTGGTAAGTCCTAAGGGTTTTATTTATTTTCTTTAATTGAGCTCATTCAGTTTATACTAATGCTCTGAATCCTAATATGAATTTGTGGTTACATATAATATGGGGATGACGATCATGTGACATGGATAAAGGCAGGAGGGGATGGCATCCAGGGGGACCTTTGCAGGCTGGAGGAGTGTGCCCGTGTGAACCTCACGAGTTTAGGAAGACCCAGTGCAAACTCCTGCACCTGTGTCAGGCCAATCCCGATATGCAATTTATGCAGTTATATTTATGCTTGACAGGTCTTGAGTTTAATGAACGTGTTTCACAAACGCTTCAGTAATGATGCATAACAAATATGTTGTGTGTCGGTTCTCATGGTGAAATGGAAGCCTTCACCTCCAGAAATGCTGAATGCATGAAGGGGCATTAAACATCTTGTTTGTGTGCAATATTATTGCCCTTTTGGGTGCTTTAAAAGTGTGTATCTGATAGGATGTTCGTAAGTCTGTTAAATGTGTTTTGCGCTGCCTGTAGGGGAGAAACCCTTCTTCTGTCCCAGCAATGGTTGTGAGAAGACTTTCAGTACCCAGTACAGTCTCAAGAGTCACATGAAAGGTCATGAGAAGGGACATACCTATAATGCACTTCCCAATAACAACGTGTCTGAGGTTAGTAGCACTTCTGCCTAGTGCTTCTCTGTTAGGTGGATATAACCCATATCTTGGGGAAGACATCATTTGGTCTGCAGCTTGTTCCAAAGTTATAACACTTAAGAGGGAAGTTTTCAAAGGGAGCTATAAGTACTCACTTTGCCATGTGTGCTGATGGTCAGTTGTATCCAACAGCTTGCTCTCTTTATGTGTGCTTTGGTTGGAATCAGTACCTTGGGGTAAGCGTGTGAAGTAGAACAGATACCAACTGTGAAGGTTTAATTTTTTTATTTCCGATAGGCTGATTTGTTCCTGTGTTAATTTAAAATTCTGGGTTATATGAGTTTTTGGAAGTAATGTGACGGAGATGTTAAGAATCCTTGACAGCTACTACATATCGTTTGCTTAGAAATCCTGCTCCTTTGGTTTTAGAACTGAGTCCTGGTTTCCCATATATGTAAAAAAATTCTATGTAGGCAGAGTTGTATGGACTCCAAAAAATAATTTTAAACATTTCTGACATTATTCTTTTAATGTGTAACTCAAATCAGTTTTTTCTTTTTTTTACAGGATACGAGCCACTCACTTTGTCTGAGTGATTTAAGCCTCATATCAACAGATTCAGAATTGCGGGAGAACTCTAATCCAGTGAGTTACTGTCCTGGAGTTGCCTCCTCCTCATCTGAGTTTTGCTTTTTTCCTCCAGAATGTGCAGTGCTTAGTTCAAACTGCTGTTGAAGGCTCTACTTTTTCTTTTTTTCCCCCACCATAATAACGTTCTTGCTTCTTGATAAATGTTCACTGGGCTTAAATTTTACATAGGGGAAAATTAAATGCAGAGGAGATAGTGTCATTTTTTGGGAGCAGGGTGCAGCTCTTGTATATGATCATCGAGCAGTGTGGGTGACTAGAAATGCATAGCCCAGGATGGAATCTTAAGTTCAGCTACTTTTTTCCTGCTCCAGAAAAGGTTCTGCAAGCAGCCAAGAACAAATTAATGTCTGTTTCTGTTTCTGACTGAGTACTACATGAAATTAGGGTTAAACTAAGTGTGGATACAGAGGAATATATTTTACTTTTGAAGGAGTTAATTTATTTTTGTAAGGATTTGTTCATTAAGTTGGTAAATTTGATTATGGGTAATAAAAACTAGTTGTCATTTTACAGCAGGTAAGTAAAATATGTTACCTTACCTGAAGCGGCTGGTTCATTGGAAAAGTGTTTCTGACATGCACACACTGCTTGAGTGGGGTTTTTGCAGAGTTTATGGAGACCTGAGATATAACATGGTCTGATGTCTTCCTCTTGGTGTTCTATTTGGCAGACACATGGACAGGACCTCAGCACAATCTCACCAGCAAGCATCTTTGAGTCTATGTTTCAGAGCCCAGACCACACTGCAAATCACGACGACTCTCAGCAGACAGGTACCAGTTGTATCCGCACTGCTGTAAGAGAAAAATTTTTGACACCTCTGTGTGCCTGTACCGAATTCAGCATTTCAGGCTGAAGCTTATTGTAACTAAGAAGCACAAAGAACTTGAACTTCAATACTGAAGTTTGTTGGGATGCACAGTGTGCACAGACCACGTGGCAGTCAGCGATAGGGGAGGTGACCCAGCATGTTGTCCTGCAGTGCTGGCATTGGAGCTCTCAAACTGCCACACCAGCCTGTTTTTAAGGTTCTCACCTTCACAACCAGGCTGATACAAAGCTTCTCAGAGAGAGCTGATGAGGCTCTCAGGCTGTGTGTAGGGCTCAGTGGTACCAGTCTCTTGAACTAACACATACTTTTAGCTTTCACTGTCTAGGGTTGATTTTGAGCACTAGTCTGAAGATGGGAACGTAGTAATGCATCTTTTGGCAAAAATCCATCAGTTAGCCGATAAGTTCATTGAAAATGCTGTTTATTCAGACCTTATGAGAACTGATGTATTTGTATTTTTTCTGGTGCTTTCTTGGCAGCTTCCTTGATTGAAGGGTTTAACGGTGACACGGACTCGGTCGCTGCGGTCCCGCCCCCGGCAGGAGATGCTGCGTCGTTGTCCCTCCCCCTGGTCCTGCAGCTTGGCCTCTCCGAGCCCGCACAGTCAGCACTGCAAGCCTCAGCAGCACCTGCTGCTCCCTCCGCCATAACACCCAGCTCACAGCCTGTGTTTGGGAATCCTGCAACTGTTTTACAATCCCCAGAAGTGCCTGTTCCTCACAGCACACAGTTTGCAGCCAGTCACCAAGACTTCCTGCAGCACACCCAGCCGCCGCCGCAGCCCATCGTACAGGGACTGTCAGTGGTTGCTGGGGCTCCTACCCCAACAGCCCCGAGTGCCGCTGAGCCCCTGCCAGCTGTGGTTCAGACTGTGCCTGTGGGTGCCAACCCCGTTCTGACCAGTAACCCCACTATAACCATTACTCCTTCTCCGAGCACCGCCATTCTGCAGTCCAGTATTGTCATGGGAGAGCAGAACTTACAGTGGATCCTGAACGGTGCCGCTGGTTCCTCACAAAGCCAAGAACAAATGGTCAGTACATCCAGCACAGCTTTGGAACAGCTGGAACTATGCCTCCTAGCACCCTTGCTTTTGAAAAGGGAGGAGGTCAAACCTGGATAAACCCCAGGATGCACTGCTGTATAATGCTTGTCATGTTACCATGTAGAAACATGTCACCAGTGCAGCCCCTGGAACAGACAGAGAAACAAATAGAGCATAGAGAAATCCAGGGTGCAGAAAAATCTTCCTTGCTTCTTTCCCCCAGTGTTGGGCTTCTGCTGGCAGGTATCAGCTTGGTTTATCCAGGACAGGGCACCACCCAGCCTGAGGACGTATGTGGGGCTTAATCTGTTACTTTTGACACATAAAAACACAAAAGACTCTGTAAAGGTTGCGTTTAGGCATTTTGTAATCTCTGTCTATGCCTAATTTACCCTGATAAAGATAATGAAAATTATTTTTTTTGAAAAGAGAATGTTTCTGGTTCTCCAGGAAATCTGGATAGCTGAGACTTCAAGAGTTTTGTCTTTGACAGTACTGGTGTCACTTCAGGCTCTCAGCTGCAGGTGCACTTGAGTGGTTGCAAGTACAGCAGTGTTTAAGAATTCAGTCAGTCAGTTGTCAAAACCTACAAGCTGAGTTAGCAAGCACATAGTGCAGGGGATGTTACTCCCCAACTTAAGGATCACTGAAACAATACTTTTGGATAGCCAGAACCTAGCCCAGTTCTCCTATGTGTTCTCTTTGGAATATGTGTATAGCTGTTTAGGATTTGATCAGTAGAAATTTGATTTGAGTTGATTCACAGATTTTTCTTGTTTTTCTTTTTTTTCCCTTAAAGCCACAAGTTCCAAAAGTAGTAGAAAAGGTGTTTTTTACCACTGCATTACCAGTAGCTGGCAACACAGGTAAGCATGACACTGAGCTAATTTAACAAAGTCTCCCTGCTGTGAAAGTATGTAGTTCCATTGTGTTTTGTCTTTGTTTCACCTTCAGGAAACCCTGTTCAGCAGATTGGTCTCAGCGTTCCTGTCATTATAATAAAGCAGGAGGAGGCCTGCCAGTGCCAGTGTGCCTGCCGAGACTCTGCCAAGGACAAAGCCACTGCCACTGTTAAGAAGGAATGTTCCTCACCTGATTCGAAAGCTTTGGAGCAGCCAGCACCCCAGCTGCAGCCTCAGACCTTTCCTTCCTCCTCTGCTCCTCCCTCCTGTGGGCAGAGCAGTCAGATAGTTAACCCTTCAGACTCCCAGACTGAAACATTAAGTGCCATGGATGTATCGGACTTCCTGTCCCTCCAAAGCCCTGAAACCCCATCTAATATAATTCCAATTGAAGCACTACTGCAGGGTGAGGAAGAAATTGGTTTGAATAGCAGCTTCTCTAAGTGAAGATGTTCCAGAGTTTCCTTTGCACCTGGAGGATAAAACCCTTCTCCTTAGAAGCAGAAACTGAAGGATTGGTTCCTATTCCTTCCTCGTTGGAAGTTTTGTGGCTTATTTCTGCTTCACAGGTGGCATCTTAGTCACATCCCAGGTACATCCACCTTTGAGATTCTATCTAAAAAAAAAAAAAGGTAAAAAAAGAAAAAAAAGAAAAACCTAAGTTATATATGAACTGTTTTGGCTGCACTGTCTGTCACTTTTGCTTGTCATATGTGAACACAGAAGTTAAGGTTACTCGTGTGCAAAAAGATTTTAAAAAGGAAAAGGGGGGTTAGTTTGTTTCCAATTGCACATCACTTATGTTTGGGATTAAGGTACTGGCAGCAAGTGGGTCTTTGTTACAACCTCTTGGGTCTATAATTTTCTCCTGTCTCTTGTGTCTATACTAAGCATGCACTAAAGGGGAGCCCAGGAAAGGAGGCTGCTGGGGGAGGAAATGGCATTGCTGTGGAAGAGGATTTATCTGCAATATGATTGGAATGCAATTGTCACATCCCTGCTGGGGAGCTGGTGCCTGGGTTGACTGTACTAATGCTGTTACTAAAGCCTGCAGGAACTTTGGGGGAGTTTATTTTGGCAGGGCACAAGTACCTTGTTCCCCTTTTAGATCTGTTCATTTAATTCCATTAGGACTCAAGTGTGTTGCAGACAGTGTGTCACAACACGGAAGCACAGTCGGAGCTGCTGCTGGCTCCGGCTCCAGAGTCTGTTTTCTGTGCCTCTCTTCAAAAGGGTGCAGTGAGTCCCAGGTGTGGTCAGGTTGGTGCCTGCTGCTCTTTTGATTTCTTTGGCTCTGTTCAGCAACAAGTCATCATCCTAACCCCAGGACTGTTGAATCAGAAGCACGGTGCCTTTGCTGGTTACTCTCATATTTTGTGAAGAACAACTCTAGGAAAATTTTCAGAAAGATTTAACATAAATTAATTTTTAATTCAGTGAGTCTGTCCTCCAGCTGTCCATAAATGCTTCCTTTTTTTCCAGTGAGCTATATAATTTCTGCCTGACTCTGTCTCCAGCCTACTGCAATGCCAGTTTTTTCTGCAACGGGGCTATTTCTTGACTAAAAGATGTTACGCAACAGAGTAGTTTTTCATATCAAACTGAGAGTCTATATTCTAACCTACTCAGGGTAAATCAAATCCAACCCCCCCCTTCCACCAAAAAGCCTGTAATGTTGCAATAAATGCAGTCTCATTCTAAATGGTTTATTTATGCTGCATTATTTTAAAAGATGTAATTTTAGAGTGTTTCATCCATCTTTCTGGCTTTGGCTGTCAGTCATCTTGTGTTAAAGGAAAGAATATGAAATAGTCTTTATTCGGTTTACAGTGTTGTTGTTAGTGAGATACAAAGATAATGACTGTAAGCCAATTAGTGGGGAGTGTCCCTGCACTCAGCTTAGGAATGCAAACTGTAGTGGATAGAGATGTTTCACTCTTTGTGTTTGATCAGAGCTGCTCTCTGTACCTGTGTGGGAGAACTCTGTGAGTGCTGCTGGGTAATCAGCAGATGTTTAACTCCTCTGTGTAGCCTGAGGACACCACTGTCACTCTGAGATGGGATAGTGGCTTCAGGGACCTCACGGTGCCGTTCCTTTGGGAATGTGCTGCCCCAGCGTGGGTGGAAGGGGGCTGAAGGGAACTTTCCCCTCTTGGACAACTTGCTTCCAGTCCAGTGCAGAAGGGTAATGAATGCCATGTCCCGTGAGGGTGAGCAGCTGTGCCAGGAGTGCTTCGTGGCCAGGACAAGCCATGTGGCTGTGTCGGGGCAGAGAGCTCGGTGTTGGCAATCGCGGGGACGAACTCGGGGGTTCCCAACACGCTGGTGGTGTTTCCTCTGGAGGTGTGGCAGTGCTCTGCAGGGCTCTCACTCTGGGTCCTGCAGCAACAAGGGTTTTATGCATGAAACACAGATTAACAAAGCATTTTGTGTTTTATTCGTGTAATGGTAATCCCTGCAGGGCTGCAAGGTGTAGGCCCCTTTGCTTTTCTCCTTCATTTTGTGCTGCAGTTGGGTTGCAGGTACCAAGAACTGCTTTGAACACACAAAAAAATAGTCCCCAGCCAGCATGGCTGGGACTTTCCTCGCAGGGATGAGTCTCCTACCAGCTCTCGTGCACAGAGCTCCACTTGGGAGGGGGGCGAAGAGCACCTGAAGCTGTGTCGAGGTCCTTCTCGTGCCCCTCACTGTGGCCTCATGCCTTTCCTTTGGCATAGTGCAGCAGTGGTGTTCGAGGATGAGTGGGTATGGGGGTGTGCCTGTGGGAGACTGCTGATGTGGGAGTGTGGAGATTCCCCTGGAGTTGTGGGGTTTTCTCTGATGGGGACAAGTGTCCCAGATGTGGCCTGCACTGTGACAACCGGAGGATTAAGCAACCTCTTCTGAGCTTTTGCAGCCTTCAGGGAGGTGTGTTTACTTTTGCTACTTGTGACTTAGTCCACCTAAAACACTCTTGGTTGGACCAGAGAGCATCATCAGGAACTCCTTTGTGACAGAAATGAGTAGAAGAAACTACCAAAGTCTCTGAACTAGGAAGCTCAATGTGGAGCTGCAGCGATGGGCAGCAGTGTCTGGGGTCAGTGTCTGCTGTTTGTCTTCACAGCTCCTGTTTTCTTTTGGCATGTTCCAGGAAAAGCACTGTGTCCTGCTGACTCTTTGGTGCATTGGGTTTGCCACTGCCCTCTTTTACGTGCGTCAGGCAGGCTGTAATTCAGGTGGAACTGGTTAGAGATTGTACTGAGGCAGGAATGTGTGATTCTGTGAGTGCAAGGACTGTGCACCCACCCAGCTGTGTTGTACAGGTGTATGCTTTTGTTGTTTCTCATTGGTTTGCTTTCCAGAGTGTTGGTGCTGTGTGTGTCTGAGATATTTTCACATTTGCATTATCCCCAGTGCTGTGTGATCAGACGTTATGCTCTGGGGCAGTTGGTGTTGTGCTGGGACGGGAGGAGATCCAAGGGCAGCTGCAGCAAAGCCCTGAGATTCCGCAAGGCCAGAAAATTTCATGTCTTCCCCTCGCTGCCCCAGCATGTAGCATATCCATAACAACATGGTTAATAAAGGGGAGAGTTTCTGCCTTTGCAGATTTGGTGAGAAGTTGGATTCCAAGAAAGGGGCACGTCCCCTTAATAAGCCAGAGCCTCCTGGAACAGCATGCCCACCTCTGCAAAATCTGCATGAACCCCTTCAATTATCAGTCAGAGAGTAAAACTGCACTGCTCTGGGTCACCTGTGTTAAAGGTTTTTGCTGGTTTGTGCTAGTGGGGATTTACTTGGTCACACACAATTTCTAGGTGGGTGCAGAAGCCTAAACATGTAGAGGGAGTCAAGTTACCAGCGTTGGTAGCTCTGATCACCAAGCAGGAACTTGAGTGAGCAGACTTGGCCTGCAGCTGAAAGCTGGAGAAGTTGCTTTTCGTGCTTTTAGGTGGTGGAGAGATGGAAAATCGGCACTGATTGAATGCTGGTACCGAATTACATGGAACAAAGTACGAGTTGGGCACTTGTGTAAGGCTGAGTGTGCCCAGGAAGACTAGTTCGCAGAACCTCATACTGGTATCTAAAATGCACTTTAGGTTATTTTATCTTTAACCCAATTGCTGCAATTTCTTTTGTATATACTTTCACAAAGTTTATTTTTGGTCTGAGTAAAAGTTAACAGGGGTGTGCAAAGATGAGCACTTAACTTGGTGCAATACCTGTAGCTAAAGATTCTTTTCCTGTTTGGTCTGTGTGTGTCTGTCTGACAGAACAGGTATGGTTGGTGCCGTGCTGCTCTTCCCCCATGCCCCAGACAAATTATGCATCGTTAGTAAACGTCCAATCTATGCAAAAACCCCACTGAGAGCACTGTGCTTCATCAGCCTTTTCTCTCACACTTTCTGGGGGCTGCTTGTTGCTCCTGTTGGACACACTGTGTCCCTCGGTGTGTGTCCTTCCTCCCCTGTCCTCGGTTTGCCACTCATGTGGGAACACAAGTGACAAGCTGCTCTCAAACAGGCATGTTGCACCTTTGAAATTTGTCTTCAAGATGGTTTCTGATGTCCTGTTACTGCCTTATTTCCTGGGGGTGGTGTGGCCACAGCCATCCACAACATTGTCCTTGACCTGCAGCAACGCTATGAGCTGTTTACAGCACTCCTGCTCCAGGATAAGTGACCAGCCCGCTGGTGTGGAGCTGCGGGGGAAGCTGAGTCGAGGGTGGTTGTCCTTGAAGGTGATTGGGGATGAGCAGCTGTCCCTGGCTTGGTTCCTGAGTTTAGGCAGCCAGGGCAGTGGGGCAGAGCAGACAGGACCTAATGTCACGTTCTCGCCTCTGCTTCTGGCCGGGAGACACCAGGCAAGGCACAGAACCTCCCTGTGAAATGAGGACAGGGAGTTGTCTCTGTGAAATGATTTGAGATCTGTGGGTGAAAACTTCTGGGCATGAGTGATCTGAGCTAGCTGGGCAGAACTGCTGGAGTCAGTTTGGACTGTAAGACAAAAAAGAAGAGCATGTCTTTAATAAACCCTATAAATTTCTGACTGCAGAGTTTTTAATTGTACACTACTTTTGCCATAACATATTTTGGAAGTAATGTCAAGGTTTTATAAATGTTATCTGTAGTTGATACTCATGGACAGGGCTGAACTTTTAACTTTTTTGTGTCTTGTCTTGGGTTCTATCACACGTTCTAGAAGTTGGATTCTGCGTCTGCACTGAGAAATGCAAATTAAACTGGATATTTATGTAGTAGTGTACATAGTCTTGAGTGTGTGTGTGTTCTTGGAACTAGGTGAAAACCCCACCCCGTGCTGTGGTGGTGTGCAAGCTGGCCAAAATTTGGTTCATTATGCAGTGTACACTTTCTCAAATAAATGCAGTTTCTACTTTTTCTGAAAATTTTGAGATTTTTTTTTCACTTAACTTTTTTCAGCAGACTCGAGGGTGTGTTTGCCGTGCTGTAGTTGGCAGTTGCTGGTGTTCCTGGTTTGTGACTCTTGTCCTCCCACTGCTCAGGCTGACCCTGCTCTGTTCTGCCTCCCCTGACCCAGCGCTGGCAAAACCCAGCCTGGTTCCACCCCGGGGCCTTGGAGGTGGCTGAACTAAACCCCAGTTTCTCAAGAATGTGTGTATTGTAATAAAGGAATTTATTTAACTCTGAAACGTGGGAACAAATGTGCTTACATTGAGCAATGTGAAGATGTTAGTTACAGGTACAGTACTTCCAAAGGAAGAGCATCTCCAAAACCCAAAAAAGAGTAAATATGAATTTGTATTTTTTGAAGAATGTGAAATAATGGTGTTTGCTTAATTGCTTATTTTGTATGAAGTTAATATTGTACTTTGAAATATCTGCAAAGAAGTGGAAATTAACCTTTTTGGAATTGAAAGCAATATTAATACTAATGGAATCCTAATTAAATGCTTATTTAAATATTGTGTTATAATAGTTTTTCCTGAGAGTTTTCTGTGGGAGATGAGCATCCTGCCCTTGCCCCCTTTGGAAGGCATTGGGGACGTGGAATTCCAACCCTAAAAGGCAGCGTTTGCCTTTGCAGCCTCCTCCCTCTCCAGCGCTGGCCTTCACCAGCTTCCCCCCCTCTGGTGCCCTGCGGTGCGGGTGGGAGTTGGGTCCCACCCCCCCTCCAGCCTGGTCCCCGGCACTGGATTTTCCTCAGGTCCTGCTTCTGTGTCTCCAGGATGCTGCTGTGGCAGGGACTGACCAGCTGCCACAGACCAGCCCAGGGTTTGTGTCTCTGCAGCCCCTCCAGGTGGGCTCAGGCAGGTCCCGATGGGGGGCACACGGGGTGATACAGACCAGGCCCGTCCCGCCTTATTTCAAAGCGAACATTTAATACGATAAAGCACCAGCAAAGCGACACTGACCGAGCCCCAAGGCTGTGCTGCCTTTACCAGTCCCTGAACTCCCCTGGCACCGCCCGGGCACTCCCGGAGCCTCAGACCGAGCGAAGCCCTTGGTCCCTCGGCAAGGCCTCGATCTTCCAGGGCTCTTCAGGGCCCTGCGGCCCCCGGGCCGGGGCCCAGCGCCGCCCGCAGCGCGGTCATCGCCGCTGTCAGCTCCTCGCAGGCGGCGATGCGGGACCGCAGCTGCCGCTGCCGCAGCTCCAGCAGCTCCCGCAGCCTCCGCGGCTCCTCCGGAACCTGCGGGGGGAACACGGCGGGGACGGTGGTCACGGCACTCGCGGTCCCCTCTCTCTGCCCCGGTCCCTCCCGCGCTCCCCCGTTCCCCCCAGTCCCCTCCGCACCCGCCGCTCTCCCGCCGCCTCCGTCCCGCCCGCTCGCAGCTCGGGGCGGCCGCCGGTGGCCATGTGAGCGCCGGGCCCGCCCCGGCCCTCCCCGGCTGTTGCGTTGTCTCCCGGCGCCGCGCTCGGAAGTGCCCGCATGGCGCGGGCGGCGCGGGCCCTGGCGCGGGCTGTGGAAGGAGCGGCGGGGCCGGGGCTGGACCGGGCTCGCCTGGTGCCGCTGCCGCCCGGCGGCGCGGCCGGGCCCGACCCGCACGGTGCGGGGGGAATCGGCCGAGGGGGGCGGTTGGGCCGGCGGGGAGTGGGGGATGCGGGGGAGGCCCCGGGCCGGGCCGGACTCGGGGAGGGGACGCCCCGCGCGGTGGCGGCGGGTGCCGGGTGTCCCCGCTGACCCCCCCGGTGTCGCACAGGATGGCGGGAGGCGGTGGCGGCCGCGGCCGGCGCGCTGCAGGCGGGCGGGATGGTGGCGGTGCCCACGGACACGGTGTACGGCGTGGCCTGCCTGGCTCAGGACTCGGCCGCCGTGCGCAGCATCTACAGCCTGAAGGGGCGGAACGGCGCGAAGCCCCTCGCCATCTGCCTCGGGGACGTGGAGCGGCTCTACAGGTGCGCGGGGCCCGCGGGCTCTGGAGCCTCGGTCGGGGCCGAGTCCCGTGCGCGGGATGGGCTGCCCCGAGAGCCCGGCGGGGAGAGGCCGCCTCTGTCCGCGGAGCGCCGTGGAAGGGAGGGAAGGGCCGTGCCGGAGCTGCCCCAGCCCCGCTGTGGCCGCCCTGACCCCGCTGCCTCTGGGCCTGCAGGTACTGCCACGTGAACGTGCCGGACGAGCTGCTGCGGGACCTGCTGCCAGGACCGGTGACGCTGGTCCTGCAGCGTTCAGAAGAACTGAATAAAGACTTGAATCCTTTCACATCAGTAGGTCTTGGCTACAGGACGGATCTCGAGGCTTGGGGGCAGTGGGCTCGTTTTGTTCTACCTGCTTGTACTGCTGTTCTGTTTGTCCTTACCGGGCCCCTGTGCTGGTCCCGTTTCCCAGGACTTACATAGGCACGGCATAACCCAGGATTAGGGCCTGACTTAGGTCTTGTGTTATTGCTGGTTCAGCAGGTTCTAAAAGTATCAGTTCTCTAGAGAATCAGTTTTAAGCTGAGAGGGCTTCAGGCAATACAAAATTAAAACCAGTTTCTGTGTGTAAAACCCTTGTCTCCTTCCCTGCAGCTGGTTGGTGTTCGTATTCCAGACCACTCCTTTATGAGGGACCTGGCACGTGCCTGCTCGGGACCACTGGCTTTGACAAGCGCCAACATCAGCTCCAAGGGCAGCACCCTGACTGTGTTGGTGAGGCTCCTCTGCCCCTCAGGGACATCAGTGGGGCACTTTGACAGAGCCCCAAGCTCTCCCACAGTTGAACTCAGCTTTAGCAATAAACTAAGGGTTGATCTCTTGCTATATATTTTTCTTTTTAAAATGATACTCACAAAGCACTGTCAGGACTGTTACCTACAGCACTCTTGCAGGAATTTCAGGACCTGTGGCCTCAGTTGTCCTTGATCATCGATGGAGGCCCCATAGGGGACATCTGGAGCCCAGAGTGTCGCTTGGGGTCGACTGTGGTTGACTTATCTGTGTCAGGGAAGTTCTCCATCATCCGTCCTGGCTGGTGAGCACTGCTGGGCCTTTCTCTGTGCTTCAAATGAAATAAAGCTTTTGGGTGAGGGCAGGTCATGCTTTGCTTTGTTTCCCACAGCAGTTCCACCTTCCTGTTAATGTTTAACAGCACACTCTGAAATCCTAAAGAGCTCCCCAAATTCCCCTTTCTCACAGCTTCTGTGGGAAAGTCCAGTAGTTGCTGGAGTTCATGTTCTGTTTGTTTTTAAGTGCAGTCCTGTGTCTCACTGATCTTCCCCAGAAATGCAGTTTAATCCTCCAGACCTTTTGTTTTGACAGTTCTCGTTCTCCCCACAGTGCACTGACACCTACAGTTGAAATCCTGAGGCAGAAGTATGGCTTGGTACCAGAATCTTCCTAACCCTTGGGAGTGGGAGCTGATGGAGCTGGGCACCATGTGCCTGTGCACTCAGAAGTGGGTGTTTGTGGCCTTGTTTAATAAGGTCGATGGGTTATGTCAAGGTGAATAAACAAAAGATTAAAAGAATGAATTTAAAAGTCCTTTTGAGCTCTCTGTGCTGCTGTACCATTCCCAAATGTCTGTTCTGTTGTCCTGATTAGGCCTTGTGAATATAATGCTTGGAATGTTGGACTGATGGGGTGGGGAAGGCCCTGTCTGCCCCACCCTCCCCAATTGCTCATTCTGTGTTTGTAGTCATTGCATCTGCACTGTAAGGAAAGCAAAAACGGAATAGAGGGGTTTGGGGCTTCCAGGGTGTTCCAGCTGTAATGTTCTCTGGTTGCATTCAAATTCATGGAGTGATGGTTCAAACGAACAACCCCAGGCCAGGCCACCTGGGCCAGGGTTGGTACCAGAGGTGAAGCTGCTCAGTCTGACCCTTTCTGACCCTGTTGAAGCCATGGGGATTCTGCTGTCTGAAGAGTCCCCAGGCAGGAACAGGGTTTTTTCCATCACCGCAAACAGAGATCTGTGATGCCACTGCTAGCCCTCGTTCTGCTTCCCAATACAACAAAAACCAGACTTGGGCTATTAAGCTGGAAACGCAACATTGCAATTTGCAGCTAATTAAATCTTTCAAACAATATTTATGTTAATCTCCTTCTGATTTATTTTCTTGTAATGCCTTGACTAGGAGATGGTCCACTGCGTGGGGAAATGCTTCCATATGGAGCCCAGCCCGCCCTGCCAGATGCTGGGAGCTCAGAGTGATGGTTTTCACTCATTGTGTTTACAGCCAGGAGAGAGAATCTTGTCTGTCTGGGCTGGGTCTGTACCCAGAGTGGGATGCTGAGCTGCAGTTCTTGATTTTGCTGCAGGAGTGAATCTGTCTGTGGCAGGAGAGGGCTGTGAAACGCCACATGGGAAGGGGTATCCTCAGACAGCTCTTGGCTGGGGTGGTTCTGTCTCTGCTGCACCTCCCCACCAGGGCTTTGCTATCACACGAGGAGGCTGCTGTGAAATGCTTCTTTGAGTTTATTCCTGGAAATTATAGGGACCTGTTGCACAAACCCAGTTTCCTTCTGCATGCATACCCACTTACACTATCCTCCAGACCTTCTTCCAGCTCCAGAGTTGGCAGAATGCCTGGCAAATTTCCACAGGATGCTGATTTAAGGAATTAGTCTGTAGAAGTGTAGATGTTAGAGACAGAAGGGACCCTGAGGCCATCTGGAGAGTCTGCTTCCCCAGACAGCATCCCCTCTCTCATGTCACCCCAGGCACATTTGTCAGATTTGCTCTCAGCTCCCTTTTCTGAAGGACATTCTGCCTGGCTGCTCTGTATCTTTTCCCCATTTTCCAGTTCCTTAAAAAAAATATTTATTTGGACTGGAATATTTCAGGGGCTTAGAGTCAACATGGTCTGTGTACACCCACGTCTTCTCTGTTTATTCCCTTTTTCAGAAAGGCTGGGGTTTACCCTCCCCTCTTGACACCTTGGAGGTGGCTTCAGGGAGTCCCTGGGGAGGGGACTCTTGGCAACCCAGGCCAAGGTGGGACAGGGGTGCGAGGGGATGTCACCGTTGCTGGAGCCAGGAACAGCCCCTGCATGCAGGGAGGAGAGCTCCAGAGGTAAAGGGACTTTCACTGTGGAATTGGTAAATTAACTATTACTTGAACTTTTATTAAATTAGATGCTCTTTTTTTGTTTTGATTTGTTTTTAATTTCACCAGCAAATGATTCTGCATAATTAATGCTGGCTGAGCCTGCTGATTCACTTGCTGCTGCTGCAGGACAGAGCACTTGGTTGCAGTCTGAGCAACATGCTGTGTTCCAGGAGCTGCCCTGCAGGAAAGCCACGCATGGCCCTGAGGAGCACTCCTGGCCCTGGGGAACACTCCTGGCCCTGGGACAGGGAAAGCACTGGATCAGTGCTTGCAACAAAACTATTAAGTTATATTGACGAGCCTGCTCTCCCCGGGGTCTGGGTTGATACGCCCCATTAACTCTCCCACAGGGGCTGGGAGTGTCCTGGCTGCAGCTCTGTCAGGTGCAAGTTCTCCATTACTCCATAATGCAAATTGTCATCACATACAACTTGTTTGGATGAGATTTCTGGGGAACCAGGAGCTCCTGAGCCTGTGGGAGCTGCCTGCCTGACTGGAGCAGAGGAGAATTTTCAGGCTTTTTTCCTTGGTGTATAGCTGTATACTCTAAACACCCTTCAGATGCTGACAGGCTCCCTGAGGTGTGGAGAGAGCACTTCCCTACCTCCAGGTGTCTGAAGGCAAAAGAAGTAGTAAGTCCACAGGGATTTGGGGTTTTAATCATGAAACAGCATCTTTTAAAACCTACACTGTGAGCAGGACAGTTGCCTTTATTATTCTGACCGTGTTTGGCCAAAATCCTGTGCCTGTTACCAGCTGACTATTCCCCTCTGCTGCGTGGCTGCAGTTGTGGGGAGACAAGTGGAGGGGCAGGGATGGTGGTGGAGCTGTGACAGAGGTGGGACAGAGATTGCTGGCAGGGCAGGAACCACCATGCCTGGCTGACTTGGGAACCCCAGTGCTGGCAGGAGGAGTGGCTGGTGGAGCTCTGCAGTGCCTGGCTGTGGATAGCTGGGTTTGCAGAGAAACTAAGCTCAGCACCAAGCACGTTTCTGAGGGGCACTGTCAAGGTGCTGCCAGTGTTGGGACAGGCTGGTCCTGCAGCCAGCTGGGAATACTGGCAGCGCTGGGCAGCTCTGTTTGGTGCAGAGACTGTTTGCTCTACTTATGCCCTCCGTGGTTAACACTCTGCAAGTAACTTCTTGGCAATGACTCCAATTAGGCCAGCACATCTCCCTGTAATCTTGATCCCTGTTGTGCTGCCAGACTCAATTCAAATTTAATTTGTTGAAAGTGTATATCGGGCAGCTTTTTTCCTTAGCACAAAACTGAGGGGAAGGTATCATTGATGGAAAAAATAATACAAGTTCATATTCTTCTTACCTTAAGGAAGGAAAAGAGGTGCCAGAAAACTTGGCCAAATTTACATTTTAATGGGAAATGTTCTGACTGCCTGCTCTGGGAGATATAAATTGCTTTCTGGATGGGACCCTGACTTTATACCAAAGTGTAGGGAATTAAATCCAGCAGCCTTTGATGAGATAAAAGGGATATCTGGGATCCACAGCCCCTTGTTTCCAGCCAGTGGTGAGGACTGGCCAGGTGCAGGTGGCAGGGTCAGGCCATTGTCCCCATTCTGCTGGGGACACAGGCTGGGTGGCTGCTGGGACTGATGGCTCCTGGCTCCAGCGGCTGGAGGTGTCATGCTGGGGGCTGGAGGGCTGTTTGCAGAGAAAAGCTGTGTATTTCAAACCCTGGAGAAACCCTGCCCTGTCAATGTACCCCAGCCTGAGAGAGGGAGGACCGGCTCAAAGGGATCTGTCCTCGCTCCTGTGTGGTGAGATGGTGTCTCAGCAGCAGAGACTACACTGGCACAAGCACCACTCAGGCCATTCCCTCTGGCAGCTGTCCCTCAGGCAGGAGTCCCTCGAAAGCCCATGTCTGGGGTGGCTCTCTGGGGTGTCTCTGCCTTCTAGTCCAGTTGTTCCTCATCAGAGCAGCTCTTGCTTACAGACAGGCTCCAGCAGTGTCTCTGCGGTGCCAGCCTTGTGTCTCAGACCCCATGCAGCCAAAAGCTGTGCCCAGGAGAAGCTGCTGTTAATTTCTTTGCATCGTAAAGCTCTTTGAAGATGAAAACGCGATGCAGTGCTGCATAGTCTTATCTCTGATAGAGCCTGTCACCTGCAGCTGTTTCTGGCCTATTCACGAGCACAGCAAAGACTTGTCCCTGCTGGGACTGAGTTCCTGGAGTGTGTCCTCTCCCCATACGGTGCTTTTGCAGTTGTCAGAGCAGTTGTGTGCAGTGGATGAGATGTAAATTCAGTGTCATATGGCAAAGGCATCGCTCAGACAAGGAGACAACATGCTTATTGGGGATGCTTCCAATCCAATAAAACAAGCAAAATCATCCCTGTTAGAGGCTCAATCAGAGCAGATGTGCTGGCACTCTTGAGGCTGCTTCCCTGGGGGAAACAATGTCACTGTCTGGAAAGCAACGCAGTGATAAATTGTAGGTGACCTTCAGTAATTTGTTGCTGTCTTGTGCAAAACACTGCTGCTCCTCTGGGCCAGTCCTGGGCATCTGCCTGGGATCACAGTAATTCCAATCTTTACCATCTTAATGGGTTTGTTGTGGCTTAGATAATGACAAAAGGCTGGGGATGCAGGGGAACACAGACCTAGAACTGCTGGAAGCAGAGCAGAGCGTGCACGAGCAGGAGGTACCACCAGCATTGTGGGAAGAGCTGTTCTGGCTGCTGGGTTTGCAGGGCCATGCAGGATCTCTCAGAGCACTCTGAGGATGCCCTGCAATGCTCAGACCCAGACCAGACCCAGATGCTTGAGTTTAACCACATTGTTTGTGTTATGAGGATACTGTGGGCTTGGCTAGAGTGAATGTTATTTCCCCAAAAAAGTCACAGTGAGACAAAAAACCTAAAAGCAAAACTTCCCATGATACTTCAATTGTGAATAAAAGGTTATGTTTTGATTTTTGAAATCAGTGGCAATTCACAAATAATTCTGTGCTGCTATAGGTCATTCATCAGCACTGGTCTCTGCTCATTAGGAGCCATTACAGGTTTTGTTTGGTTGTTTGTTCAATATTTGTGGTTTGTTCAGCTGTTCTCCAGGTTGGTGTGGTAATGACAAATTACAGACTCGTCCATCTTTTTTCCAAACAGAAAATGCAGATGGATGACATCATGGCAGTGCCATTGAGCCAGGGTGCAGCTGAGAACTCCTGGGATGAAACAGTTCTGGGGAGGGCATGTCCCCAGGTAGATGAGCAACAGACGAGCCTGGCATGTGGCCACAGGCTGCAGCTCCGGGGTGGTGGTTCAGGCACACAGCTGCCCATGTGCTCTTCATCCTCCCCACTTTGTTTATCCTTGTGCCCAACCACAGTCTGGAGGGAGCAGAACAACTTGGGATCACCATTGCTTCCCTGCTCTGCCCTGTCCCTTGCGCGCATTCACATC